TTGCCTCTTTCGCCGTCGCCGACGCCTCTTCGGCATCCACCGCCGCCCTCTCAACCTCGGCCAGCCTCGAGGATAGCTTTGCAATCTTCGCAGCATTTTCCTCAGCATGCCGATCCTAGTCTTGGATTAGCTTCCCCGCCTCAGCAATCTTAGCTCGGCTATCCTCGTATTTTTTTTGGACGCACACGGCAGCATTAACGGCTCGTTTCATACAAAGCCACATCTCCATGTTAGCCTGCAACAACATAACGTTAGTACATACCGATCGCATAAATACTTGAAAGCAACAACACACACACTTACAGCAGCCTAAAGGCGGAAGGCTCAACCGGCCTGCTTGCGCACTGTCTCCATCTGTGCACCGTCGATGAAGCAATTCACGAACGGGACCACCTTCTGGGGGCAGGCCACGTTCATCGGTTCAGCTTCAGCATCCTCCTCATCGTCAGGCACGAGGACGGCCGCATCCTCATTTGGCCCCCTTGGCCTCTTCAGGAGAGGGGTCACGTCGAGGGCACCTTCGATCACCCTCTTCCCCGTCGCCTGGAGGTAGGCCTCACGAATGGTTTCAGCCTTGGCTATTTATTTTTCACGATTACGATTAGCCGCCGTCACCTCCGGTGGTTTCGTCCTCGGCCTTTGTGAGCTGTCTTTTTTCTTCTGAGGGGCCCGCGCCTCCTTGTGGCTTCTTTCATCGCCCTACCACCAGCCACTGCATAAAAGAAAACTCAAGTTAGGACCGAATCGGCCTACGACAACATGGAACAAGACATGCCCAACGACATTCACTTACTTTTGCTCCTCTCCTCTTCTTCTTTCTCCTTCTGCCTCCTGGCGTGCTCGACCTCACTAATCAAGCCCGCCTTGAACAAATTGTCGAAGTCAAGCAGAGTCCTGAAGACAGGTCCCTCTTCGGTAATTTTGGACCACACACGCTCGACTATTTCCACCTCTTGCGATCGGTCGTTTCAAGGACACTGACATACGAAAATACAGAACTCCGGTTAGCATCAGCAAAAAAAAAAAAAAAAAACTGCTACCGAACGGCATTCTAGGCATATCGACTGTCTGAAAGGTTGTGGGGATGTGCCTCTCTACGATCACCCCTGGTGCCGATTCCCAGGCTCCGGACACCAGCACAAGACGCCGACGCCATGTCTTTTGAGAACTCGGCACCCCTACCACGAAGTGCCCCCTCTGCCTTGTCGAAAGATAATTCGACTGGACCCACCCCCCTGATTGGCACTCTTCGCCCTCGTCACGCTGTAGAGGTGGGCAAATTGCTTATAGCTCGGCTCTCCCTCGCCAGCCATGCCGAATGCCGTGATCGTCCCCAACAGTGTAATCCAAAAATTCGGATTAAACTGCCCCGGGGCGTAGCCGATCTGCGCAAGGATCTTCTGCACTGAATGCCTCAACGGTAGTCAAAGCCCATGCTTGAAGACATCGGTGAAGAAGACCACTTCACCATCTGGATTACTCAAGGACTCTAACAGCCCTGGGATTCGCATCACTACCGACTCCGAAATATGGAATTCTGCCCTAATCTTTGCTAGCTGCCCCTTATTCAAGGCATTCGGCTCTAAGAAATCCACCCCGAAGACGAGGCCCTTTGGCTTCGCCATCGGCAACCTCTGACGTCCAGTGAGCATGGTCAGCACACCTTCTCTGGGATGGGCCATCGACACACTAGCCTCGGTCACCTCGACTCGGCGACCAGATGTCGATGGTTGAGTGTCATTCACCTCAACCACCTCCACGCTTGAAGTGCTCCCAAATTTGGTAGACACCTCTGCATCCCCCACCTCTACCAAATTGGCACTCTCAAGCCCTGCCGTTGAGCTCTCCGACGCCGATTCTCCCTCAGAAGCTCTTGGGCTATCACTATAGTCTGATTCGGTGTCTGACATCTACAACCAAAACCAAAACGAAACTAAATGCCATGCTCGAATCAAACCACTATCCTAAAGCCCAAGAGCTGATGTTCATCTACGTTCATCTATGTTCTTACATATTCATACATGTTCATACAAAATGGAAGGCTTTGATTCAGTCTAGAAGAAAATACATCAGCATACCTTGTTTGTATGGTGGTTAGAATTCACCGAAAATCGCCTCCGCCGTACAATCCTTCACTAGAAATCGACTCCATCGTAAAATCCTTCGCCAGAAATCGCCTCTCACGCTTTGATTGCTCTTCAAAATCTCAAGTACTTTCCCCATTATCCCTCCGAATATTTATAGGACGAGCCTAGCATTGGGATTCGAAACGACGCGACCCTTCACAGCCCTCCCGACGCGTGTCATGCATGCACTAGGGAGCCCAAGAGTCATCGCACCCTACTTGAAATGTTTCGATTCTCACTTGATCGATCCTTTGACTTTCCAGAGAGCAAAGTTCACTAATGAACGGCAGGCACACAGCAGTTGAGTTTTTTCACTCCCCTTCGTACCGAACGACAGGCACACAGCAGTTGAGTTTTCACTCCCCCTCGTGCCGAACGGCAAGTGCACAGCGGTTGAGTTTTTCACTCCCCCTCGTGCCGAATGGTAGGCGCACAATGATTATTTTTTCTACTACACTCGACCACCTTCGGCTTTTTCTGCCGTTCCCTTCTAATCTTCAACCTCCTTTTTGCTCGGGGACTTGGGGGACTACATTGTCACCATCGGCATACGACAGAAGACGCTCATACCCAGGTCAGGATGTCCGAGATCAAGGATAAGCAAGTCCCTAACCATGAAGTCCCTTCTCGATCGGAAACTTGGGGGACTCTTGTTTGTACCATATCTGACACCTCACTCACGTCATGACACGTGGAATGCAAACCTGTCAGACCTGCTTGATGAGTCATGCCGAAGGATCGATCGGCACACTCTGCCGATTCTTACGAGGTCAAATCGGTAAAAGTGCCTACAACCTGCACCCCCGCAAACCTTCGATAGCGTATGTTGAGGAACCAGTCAGTACACTCGACCGATTCTAACATATCACCTTAGAACTCTTGCTAGAACTTGTGAGGGCACGTGTCGACTGCCGAAGACACTCCCACGAGTCCCACATCGAAACTAAGTACTAAGAGCATCACCAAAGCTCTCTATAAATAGACCCCCTTGGCCCAGCCAAGAGGTGAGACTGTTTACTTGACTTGTACTTTCACACTATCAATAGAATTGCTCTTAGTCATTAACTTTGGCATCGAAGGATCCTCGGCCGGCACCACACCGGTGCCTTAGGCTTCACATGCTGTTTTTTTCTCCAAGCAGAATCCAGTATTGCACCTTGAGGGAAGACACCATGGCCCGAAGGCTTCTCAGGTCCAAACCTTCCACGTCACCTGTAAGTTAGCCTTATTTCTATCTATTTAGATTTAGTGTGAACACCCTCATTTCACCAAAAGTAATTGCGGTTGTTTCCTTGGTTTCACTTCTCTTATAACCTTATGTTCCTTTCTCTTGTCTAAGTTGTATGCACTCCCTCTTTATGTGGCATGGCTAGCCACAATGGTAGCATTTTAGGTCCCTTCTTGTTTTGGACCTGCCCCTTGAGTCATCTATTGACTTGCCTCTTGACTTGACTCAATTGCTGAATTCTATGTTATTACTCTTTACACGATATTATGAGACAAGAGCTTCTAATTCGATAACTACACCTTGTTCTTTCCTCCTAGCTTCTTCATTGAACATACTATCTTTTGCTATGTCCAATGTAAAAATGCCTAAGGACCTAAATTGCTTAGTAACATCATCAGTGTATCTCAGCTATCAGATAATATGTTGAGCACCACCAATGCTTGTAACTCTTCACTAAGTGTCATCTCTATATTTGTAAACTAGTTTATTAAGCCTTGAAAGTCACTCAAGTGCTCAGTAACACTTCGACCATCTCTATACTTGATGCTTACCAATCGTTGGATCAACATGCCTTTATTTTGAGTGGTATTCCGCTTGTACATGGACGCCAATTTCGTCCATAACATAAGCATTAGTTTTTTCTGCCACATGATGGACGACACTTTGCTTGACCCATTCTCGGGTTTGTCCGATAACTTTTCTGTTTAAAATATTCAACGAGGCGTCTAAATTCTCTTATAGCTTATGTCTTCTATTGAAAAGGCTCATACAAATCCATACTTTAAAGAATGTCCTCCATTCTTCTCACATACAAGTGAGGCTTTCTTTCTCTCAAACTCTCTGAAGTTTGGCTTTTATAAGGGATGATGGATTACATGAGAAATGTGTCTTTTATAAGCTAACCTTGCTGGAAATATTCCCTAAAGCCAAACGTGTGATGTAAATTTATGGATATTTCACTGCCTTTTATGGTAAATCAAAAGGGCAATTAGGTCGATTTAGGTAATGGTCTCCTTAATAGTTATTTACCTAGAAGACAAGTTGATGGTTTGTGAGATGACGATAGGGATTTAAAGAAGTTAGGTCCAAGAGACTTTTCCTTATAGCTCACACCCTAAATAGTTCATAGTCATAGGATCGTTCAATTGGGCATTGAGGATCCGCAAAAACTAGTATACACTATATTTGTTCAATTGGGAGGATGACTGGTCTCAAGTCATTCGTGTAGAAGACACTAAGATAAGTGTATGAGTGTTTGCGAGAGAGTGAGTTTATTGAACACGATCAATTAAGAATCTTGTATGAAAGTTTAACTGACATGTCAAACAAGATTTATAAGTTGCAATTATGCAAAATTAGTCCTTAGACGTGAGGCGCTATGGTTGCCTTAGTAGTACGTCGTGGATCTTAGGTTAATGTCGTATAGTTGAACCCAACTTGGGACTTGACTTAAGATTAAGATATCAATGGGTCATTGATTAGTAACAGGAGTTTGTGAGCGTACAATAATGAATCTCGACTCTCAATAAAGAGAGAGAAGGAATCTCCAATAAGTAACCCGAAGTATTTATCATGAAAATCAACACAAGACCCTCAATAACATACTGAGATTGAGCTAATCATCCTTCCCTATACTACGGCCGGAGCTAATTATTCTTGAGTAGGAAAACCAAATTTACTGTTTTCCTCCTCAAAGCAAAGAAAACAAAGACAGTTTGTCGAAGATAAGAAAGAGGGCTTAATAATTAGATGGAAAGAGAGTGAGAGAAAAGGTGAAGAAAGATGCTCCCGCTAAAGCTGGTACGCTCTCTAGTCTTTGGAGAAACCATCAACAACAACCCTCTCCTTCTCCCCCAAAATCAACATGACGAAGATCCCCACCACAACAATGACGATGGCTACGATGCTGACTCTAATGCCAAAGATGGTCATCACAAACCGACAGAAGGAAGAAGCAAAACCAGCAAATCGAGAACCCCATTTCTCCTCTTCCTCCCAACCAAAGAACTTGTCGCAGACACATACAGACTGGCCACCATAGCCAGAGACATGGGCATGGATTTGCACCCAACCCCATCTCTCTCCCACATCATTCTCTCATACCCACCACCGCCATCATCATCGTCATCATCTCCATCTTCAACATCACCATCAACATATTCATGGTCATCGTCATCACTCTCATCAACATCTTTGCCCGACGACACTGTTCCCCTCCCTTTCCCTTCTCTCTCCACAGCCTCCATTTCCCATCTTCGCGCCTTTGTCAAGCTCTCCAAAGGCCTGTTCAAGCTGGTATTTGTGCGCTCCAATTGTAAAGCCACTGAGGCAACTAGTGAAAGCAATTGGAATTGCTCATCAATGTCGCTGTTTTCGCGGCTCACCGGAGACCGAATTGACACAATGGAAGGGTTTTCTCGGGCTTTGGCCGGACTGGGGTGGACCCTTTTCAAGACTAAAGAAAACCCATCAGCGGATTCGGGCCATAGGCGAGTTTGCGGTGGCAAATCGGTGTATCTGTTTCGGAAGGTCGATACAAACAGGGTTAGGGCTTGCACTGCTGGGGAATGTAGGGTTCGGGAGTTGAGGTTGCCCCCATTGGATTTTAGTAATGCCCCTTTGAGGATTTTGCAATACATTCTCCTTATGACGGATGATATCTTCTATCTCGCATAAATCAGATATTGGTATGTGTTTCCCTTCATTACTTTTCAAATTTGTTGTTTTAATTTGATGGTCGCTGGTAATTTCCTTACATTTTGTGTATATTGATTCTGTACTAAGATATTGGCAGTAAATCATATATCTGTTCTGTGGAATTTTTGGCCAACGTATGTCAACCGTTGCCTTGAATTGGATTGTTTGTTTTTTGTAACACAAAATTTTCTAGGAAGGATGAACTGTCTTTGCCTTACAAAAAACAAAATGAAAACAAAAATGAAGTTTGTGTTTGTGTTTGTGTAGTTAGATTAAGGAATTCATTAATGTGACAGAGTTTTATCGAAACGGACAAAGGAAAGAGATTTAAATTGGATGATGAGGAATTATCAGTGCATTGTGTATTCCATTGTTGGTAGTATTTTATTGATGCGATCATCAGCTTTACATTTTTTTTTTCTTTTTCCATTTCAGCATTCCTTTATTAGATCCTGAGTCCTGACCTTTGTATACTTTTTGTTATACATGATGAGAATCCCTAAGGCCAATAATAGAAACGAAAATCTTATCACCCTGTGTATGCTTTTCTGTTATGCATGATTGTAGTTTGTATATTTTCAACTCCAAAACGGTTTCCAAAGGAATGTTAATTATGACCTCCTGAAGGATGCTTAAGGCATGTGTCACATATTTTATTTATTTTTAATATACAGAAAATGGACATAGTGTATTGAAATGTTAATACATTCAATAAAATGTTGCAACTTGATGTGTTCCAAAGTAAGTGCCAGCAGGGAAGATTTAACTGAGAAATTAGAGTGAAATTTCTCTAATTATCTTCTATGTCAACTCTAACATCATGTGAACTTGAAATTATCCTTCAATTTTACATACGAAGTATAGATGATATAGGGTATTGTTGTCTTGCTTGGCTGACTGACAACTAAGATGCTTATGTTGACAGAATGTACATTGTTCAGGATATTCTGAATCTATTGTGAACCCTAAAACTAAGAGATGGTCTTTGCTATGATGTATGAGCGTCATTTTTGCATTGCACCTTTGCAAGTACTATGGAACTTTAGCCACAAAGACTTAATTGAGATCAAAACCATGCATGTCATTTTGGCACTCTTACTAATGCATCTGTGTTAGGCTAAGTCTCCAAAGTCCTTATCTGGCATTTGCAAACGCAGTTTGATATTTTCCTATTTGAGCACTCCCTATTACGGACACATCTAGTTACAATTTCCAGAGGAAATTAACTTTTTCTTTAAATCTACCTCTCCCAATTGATATTTGTTAAATCATAGGTATCTTCCACTGTTCTCCCGCATTATGTATTTTGGGCTACTAAAACTAATAGCATGGATGAAGTCGGGAGATATCAGTACTTGGGATCTTTGCTTTGATGTCTCTTTGAAGATGTGGAATAGAATGGAGTTTGTTTTGAGT